GCCGCAGCACTTCGAAAGCGTTCACATACTTGTCGGAGTGGGCGCCACCCACAAATCGGACCCTAACGACAACGCGGCCAATGTCTGGGCAACGTGCGAATGTGATCGCGTTCCCCGCACCAGCAGCTCCACTGCCGAAGTCGAAGTGATTGAAATAAGGGTTTAGGGCATCCTGGGACAGAGTCGCAGACTCGGAAGGCCTTCCCGTCTAGTCCAGTCTAGTGACCTGTGGATATTTTGTGTTGAGCCGAATGAGTAGCCCTTTGACTCAAAAAGGGGCTAAATGTGCCAAATGACCACGTACACTGCGAACCCCATGAAACAAAACGCCACGATTTGCGTAAAAATGACAGCGCGCACGTTTGAGCTTTGCTTTCGCATGCATGGGAAACAACTGCCAGTACTTGAAATACTTTTCTTCAAGGGGAAGTTTAGAGGCAAGGTGCCTGGGCCCGCAGGTTCAGCCAAGCTGCACAACGCTTCAGCACATATTCAAAGAAGGGGCAAAAACTCGAGCTTCAGAGCCCCCAAACCGCCAATCCCGACTGGCGTCTCCCACCCAGCAACCCCTGAAGCCCCGAACCCCTCAGCCGGTTTCGGCAGGCGCAAACAACACGGCATGCCAAGTGCCCTGCGTGCGTCTTGTCAGCACGAGCGACGGCTCGGACGGGCAGCACGCTCGGATCGACGATGCGGGGGGCTCGACGGGCGCTCAGCTCGGACGATGCGCTCGACGGACCAGGCTCGGCTCGGACGACGATGTGACGACGGTGACGGCGGCGGTGATCGTAACTTTACATGCATGGCCGATCGGGAGAGAACTACGGGGTGGGGGTGACAAGGCACTCGCAGGGCAGCTGTGGATCAAACCTACTGCGGGGACGAAGGGGTGTTGGGATGCCGTGAACCAAAAACCACACCCAAAAACAAAAACAGACGAAAGCACTCAAACAAAATGGTACTGCGAAAGTCGGCGAGCCCAACGAGACTACTGCCGTGAACATGCCGCCGCTCCAAGCAAAACCCCCTTTGCCCCCCGACACCCAAAAGAGGGGCGAGACAAGCGAGACAGTGAGACAAACTCCCTTCTACCAGCCCAGGCCCCCCAGAGAGACGAGGGAGACAAGCGGGACGTTGAGACAAACTCTCTTCTGATTCTACCAGCCCGAACCCCCAGACAGACGAGCGAGACAAGCAAGACAAATTCTTTTTTACCAACCCGGCCTCCTGCAGTTCTCTGTGTGGACATGATGAAGCCGACAGCGCGCAGTGCGCATGCGTTTCCAACGACTTGCTGCGCTTCGGCCGAGCTAGGCGCTAAGAGCGATCTTTTGCTTCGTCAGCCGGGCTCCCCCTTTTCGTGGAGGCGAGCTCCTCTACTGGGCTTTCTTGGACTCAGAGAGGCCGGCCAGGCCGGCTAAGGCTGCGTCAAGCTTGGCAATGAAAGTCTTGGTCTCAGCATTGGTTCCGCCACTTTCCTGAGTCGGCAGAGTTCAACGTTTACAGTGGGCAAGCAAACTCCAGCGACACCGTGACGATATCAATACTTTATCCTTACTTTGATCCAGGCTTTCTATCCACACGGTGGGTTTCTGCAACAAAGCAGCGTCTTACTCGCCAGATTGTCATGGCGAGCATGTGAATCAAGGCTTCTTCATCGCAAGATACAACAAAAAATGAACGAGGCGCACCGGTCCTCGAAGTACGCTAAGAAAACCAAATCTATCTGAAGATGTGGAAGACCCTACGTCCCCTTAAAGCCCTTCCAAGAACGACCAAAACAAAAGGGCGCCTGCAAGTCCTAACACCAAAGCATAAAACCAACAACTCTCTCAACCTCAACTGCTTGAAGCTTGAACGCCCAAACCTGAATTCGAGACCGAGAAGATTTTCTGTAACCCTGAATAACCAGAAAAACTGTTGGGAAGACCCATTAAATCCTAAACCCTAAGCCAGCGCTGGGCTTCTCTTTTGCAGAACTCCCGGAAGCCGTCGATGGCTTGGAAAGGCCCTTGGGCCTCCTCGAAGCTCTTCCCGAAGTGTTTCCTTGAGGACAGCTTTTTACGGATTTGGGGCCTCCCTAAACCCTAAACCCTAAACCCTCGGGGGTTTAGGGTCGTGGGGCTCGGGGTGTTGGGGGTTTAGCACTTGCTAAGTGACAGGGCGTTTCTAAGATCTTGTAATGGGCTTTAGGACCAGAGGATATGACAGGCAAGGGTAAGTAAGAGTGCACTTCAACATCCTATATAAGGGCTTTGAGAGCCAGGGCTCTTTGAAAAGACGGTTGCCTTGTTGTGACGCTTTTGCTTCCTCGAACTTGGTTTCAAGGCGAAAGTTGCGCAGACATAGGAGCAGGGAGTCCACAAATCGTAAGACTCCTCCAGAACGCGAAGCAAATCCGGAATCCTGTCGACTGTCCCGATACTCAGGACCGAGAACCACATCGCCCTGCATGAACAAAAGCCTGTTTTACAGGGACGAAAAGCCAAACAACAGTTACCTTGCGATGATTTCAGTAGCAAGCCCAAGCTGTCAGGGCTGTATGAAGCCTTACACGAACCGTAGACCACCGGGATTAAATGCGAACAAAAAGGAACTGAGAAAACTGGCAGAGCCCGATCAAAGAAGCATCCAGTGATGGTCATAGAGATGACTTGGTAGAACCCACAACCAACCGTGTCTGCCCAGGGGCTCAAGCGAGTTGGCCTGCCAAGCCTCCTGATCCAGAGGAGAGTCGCCCTTGGTCCTTTTGGAAAATTCTTCTTGGTTGGGAGAAAGAGGATGCAGGAAGTTTTTCTGAGGGTTTGCGAGGTTTAGGGCTTACAGGCTGTGGATGACCTGAGATTTCGATCATCCCGAGAGCTTTTTCGATGCATAAAGAATGTCGCGACGAGGGATTCAAAGCTGCAGTAGCCCGGCCTGCTGCTCAAAGGAACTCCAGGGATTCATGGAACAAGTCATCTACTCTGGACGCGAGATTCTTCGATTGAGATGAATCTGCAGGACCATGCGCCGATATGTTCAGGGCCTCTAAGTCAAGACCCAGTCGTAGGAATCATGCCCATTGGTTGGCGCGGTGCTCCACGGTTTTCTACGTTCCTGGGGAAAGGCCTGTGAAACTTTGCATGATTTTGGGCTGAGGTAGAAGAAGGCCTAAGAAACAAAATTGCATCCCTAAAGCCTCACATCCCATGACTTGAACCGCATCCTAAGCCCTCAGCCCGCCCTCAGCTGCTAAACACTCGGGAAGAATCTGCCGGAATCGAGTTCCTTTTGGGGGATGCCGGCATTGCTTTGGAGTTCGTTGGGGATAGCTCCCCTACGCCCAGGAGCTCCACCGTGAAACCCTAAATCCCAAACCCTGAATCCTAAATCCAAAACCTTAAATCCTAAACCCTAAACCCAAAACCCTAAATCCTAAACCCTAAATCCAAAACCCTAAATCCCAAACCCTACATCCCAAAGTCCAAAACCCTAACTCCTAAACCAAGCCTTTCAGGCAAGGAAGAGCCGAGGGTCAAGGCGAGGAAAACTTCCTTCTGCTTCTTTTCCAGCTCGTCCATGAGGCCCAGAGTGACCCTCCTTTGATTGAGGCTTAGGGTTTAGGGAAGTGGGGAGAGGGGAGCAAAAAGCATAAAGAGAGGGGAGGTGTCCTAAACAGCTAGCGACTTGGAAAGCTGAACACATATTTGCTTTACGAGTTGTATGCGCGGCAACGGCACGACTTAGAGCCACCCGTGAACCGTTGTTGCCACTCTCAAAACAGTTCTGCACCTCTACCACAGGGTCTTGAGCTTTGCTTGATGGGAGCCACAGGGTCTTGAGCTTTGCTTGATGGGAGCTACCCAGGTCAAGCAAGGCAAATCCCACACACAGGAGCATTCCCAGAGAACCCAATACCCCTTAATTAAGGAATATACCTTAAATCATAATATTATGGCCCCTATGATTTAAGGTATATTCCTTAATTAAGGGGTATTGGGTTCTCTGGGATCTCAACCTAGCTATCTGAAGATGGGCAAGGTTCCGGGCATGGAAAGCCGAAAACATCCTGAAGAACAGCCGGGTCTCATGTACGGGTACATGATAAACCGAACATGCAGACACTGAATGATCATGCACGTGCAGGCCAGAAAGTTGGGTATCGACCGGGAGATGTACGTAGCTGCCTCGGATCATGCAAGTCCAAGCTGTCCAACTGCAGAGAGTAACTTCACTGTGTATGTCGATCCTATTTGCACCTCACTCCCTAGAAAACAAATCATATCTGCCAAGCTTAGCATCCCAGTTGCGGATGCATCGAAAACTGATGCATAAACTGGCCCAATGCCTTGGAAAGGGTGAACACACGAATCTATACCTCTGTGCCCAGCCCTGCCCTGTGACATGCAAACGCATGGAAACTAGGCAGCCCGCACAAGAAGCCCTAAACTACCCTACCCACTTGAACCCTTGACCCATAAACCCCTAGCCTACAGTTAACCCCCGAACCGGTTTGTGAAAGCCTTTTGTTGGAGATCGAGGATGCCCATGCCGAGCACGTAGCCAATGACCCATTCCACGCTCTTGAAGCGAGCGATCTCGTCTGGAGTGGAAAAACCTCGCAGTTTCTCCACGCTCTTTGAGTTTCCGCAGCTCGGGGTGGAAGGCTTAGGTTTGGAAGCTTTAGGGTTTAGGGTTTAGGGCAGCTACTCAGCCCAGCCCTCACTCGCATTCTGTTTTGGAGTATACTGCCTCGCATTTGCAGCTCGAACCTCGGGAGGGAAAGAAAGATGGACGTGTCTAACTCTGATCCTACCATACAACTTCTTCATAGACCCTAAACCCTACAAACCGCCAGGCAGGAGAGAATGAACATTTGAACCACAACATGACGGAGAAACTTGCCACGCCCAGAAGCGAGAGTCGACGTACTCCTTCAATGGCATAAAGCCGCCCAGGAATGTGAATGCCACAAACATGACTATGGGCAGAACATCGGAGACAGCAATCGTGAGTTGCTGCAAGATCAAGACGGTGTAGAGGTACACCAGGCACGCCGGCATCATAAAGCTGTAGCTAAGACGTAAGCACAGACTTGGCACTATGCCCATGAATACCAGAAACAAAGGCTGGAGGAGGATCAGCATCGTTACCTCGGTTGTCAATGCAGTCAGCGAAATGCTTGAAACACGAAAACCGCTTGGAGGCCCACAGGCATTCATGGTGGCCGACAGAGTGTTGGATGTTCTTGCGTGGCTGCCAACAGACTACGTAGCAATGAACCCCTCGTCCCCACGAGTTTGAACCCACCGAAGAGCCAATTTAGGTGCTGTCCACTACCCAAGGTTCCGAATGATGTATGAAAAGAAAAATCCTCCTGGACATGGCAGCATGAAGTCAAAGTCACCGCGCTCTGCGACCATCCATGGTAAGCCATGAGCTGAATAGGCAGCATCCTGGCTCTTGGCAATCCGAGAGGGGAGATATCACAAAGAAGCAAGATCGCCTCTTGGTATTACAGGTGTAAAGCAGTGTAATCCGGTTCAAAAAGCTCTTCAACGGCAGACCGGCATCCCAAAGACATGTGTCCAGCAGGGCTCAATGCACACCATCAGCAGGAACCGCCATGATAGTGGATTGTAGTACACGTCCTTGTAGGACAGGACCTCGCGCATCACTTTCGAAAATGCGCCCGAAGGCGTATCGACTTCGCCATCTTTCTCAGCTTTTGTTCTGTCCATGGACCTTGAGTGTCTTTCGAGCTCTTGAAAACTTCTATCGCCGAGATCCCTGAAAAGAACCATCAGGATCTCGGCGCTCTAAGCATTAGCACGTACATGATGTGTTGCTATGATGCGCTTACGAGAGCCGAGAAGTCCCACATGTCCTAGAGTATACCACTTGCGACACAGCTAGTACACCGTAAGATTTGCACGTGCACATCATATGCTACAGGATGCACATGATGTACCAACAGGTGCAGCCTAGATCCTGAACACTCAACCCTAGTTTCTTTAAACCCTTCAAAAACCCTCAACCTTATTAGAGACTTCATTCCAAGGACCCTAAACCCTAAACGGCCCTAAACCCTAAACCCTATTAGAAACTTCCTTCCAAGGGACTCGGGCATGAGGAAGGCAGCGGCAAAAAGCATGCTCAGGTTCATCAGGAAGATGACCGTCCAGACGGTGCGGTAGTTCACCAGCTCCTCAGTTTCTCAGGGGCTAATTAGGGAGCTTTGCAGGTTAAGGCCTTCTGTCGGGTTAGGGCCGGGTTAGGGGTCTCTGTGCCGTTTCCAGAAGTTTTCAGGCTTTAAGGGTCTCACCCCTACTTTGCCAGCGGAGGAAGCTATGCCACGGTGCGCGACGCAATGCTAAGCTATACTTTGTGACAGGTTACAACACACACAACTAGGCCTCTGAACTCGAAAGCAAGCGCCCTGAGGCCTGATGCATCGGACTTCAGCGTTCGACTCGACTTGAGAAGACGAGGCAGTAGGACAAATGCTAAGGGGCTACTGCGTAAGTGCTCGATTATGCAGGCTCCCCTGTTGTCATCTAAATAACGCACAGTCAAGAGGAGGAAGATTCGAACAGGGCCTCATTTCCAGAGTGTTACTTTCAGTTCTACCTCCCAGTGGCTCTGTGACGGATCGGTTTAGGCCCTAAACCCTAAACCCCTAAACCCTAAACCGATAGGGTTTAAGGAAGCTGAGGGCTTGGGGCAAGGCCTGGGAATCCTGCAGACAAGCACCTGACTGTCTGGTGCTTAGTAGGGAATGGGAGAATGGGTTATAGGGACTACTATAAGGGACCTTAAGGGACTATCATAGGGCCACGCAAGTCCGTATTAGGCCGCGTTCTTTTCTGCAGGCTGTGCGGTTTCGGTGCTACGATAGGACTT